TTAAAAGCCAGGAAGTACTCAACACCTGTTTCGTCCCAGTTTGAGACTCTTCACAGTACGCCCACATGACTCCACAGTAGGGATTGAATTGAAAACCCTCAGGTTACGAGGCGAGAGTCTATAGACTATACGCAGATATTTTAAAAGTATCTTACTACCGGCTTTGTCAAACATACTTACGTACTTTTTGTTCCATTGTAGAAACCGGTAAGCATAATCGATTTGTTTATACTTTATTAGTTATGAATTATTTTGTTTGATTAGTTTACATGACAGCAGGGAATAACTTTAACAGCATTCAACCAATGAATTTTATAAATTCAGATCCCATCCGGTTCACCATAACTTTGTTCATTCTATACACAACAGGTGTGATTTGTAGCTGGCTCAATATTGTCGTGGTAGTCACTACCTCTTTGATCATAGGTGCTTGCGTTCTATCTCCCGTGTGAAGTGGTATATAGGGTGAGTAATATTGAGGTGAGGCATCAGTCAAATGCCAGTTAGTTAGGAGGGGAATTCAATAGATAAGGCTGCGAAGTTACATCAACTAAGATGGTTAGGATATGTGTTACTCATGCATGCCTAGCTATCGCCTCCCTCAACGGGCAATGTTAGCTGGAAAAGAGTTAGCTAGTGGTGATCAAACCAAAACATGGCTTCATCAGTCAATTAAATCAACGACAGTTAGTTTAAGCCAGTCACGTAGGAAGGTGTAGACTGCCCGTCTGACTGGTTGGGGTCCTCGGGATGGTAAAAACCAATGATGGCTGGAGACAATTTATGGTGATATGGCTCAAAGTGATCGTTCTCAATGACTGGTTGGTGGAGATGCATCCACTCCTTGTGACTTATAATACGCAATGAAACTATATTGTTCTTCGATATTACTATTCCTTTTATCCCATATCTCTGTTTACTGTCTCTATTTTGCATTTCCTTTTACTTTCTTCTCTGGCTTTGTGTGCTACATGGAGTGGAGTGTGGTGACTTGAACTGCTGCACATCGGTGCAAAGTTGTTCTATGTTGAAAACAGTCACAGACAGTGAGGTAGTCACTCCGAAGACATCATTTCCATATCTAATATCTAGTTCGTTTTTAGCAGTATTATTATTATAATCCTAATTTCGCCTATACATAAAACTAGCTTAAACCAGTCTAGGAAAGTGTAAACCATTGCGCTCAGTCAGAATATTTATCATGATGAGATGAGACAGCCTCAAAGCTGAAAATTTATGCAAACAATTAAATTAGTTATTTATTAGTCTCACTTTTCGCACAAAAAACCTGGAAGATCTGGACTTCGACGATGATATACGTCTGATTTCCCACAAACTGGAAGATATGCAAGCGAAAAGCAACAAGTTGGCAGAAGAAGCATCGAAGGTACGACTTCAGGTGAACATAGAGAGAACAGAGGTAATGAAGATTCCTGGATAATGATCAGCATAAATGGGAGGAACCTGAAAGAAACAACCTCTTTTACCTACCTGGGAAGCATCGTTTCAACTACAGGTGGAACTGACGAGGATATCAAAGCAAGAATCGGAAAAGCAAGACAAGCTTTCACTACTCTCAAGTCTGTGTGGAGGTCAACAACACTCAGCATCAAAAATAAGATTCGGATTTTCAACTCCAATGTGAATTCAGTGCTACTTACTATACGGATCAGAGACTTAGTGCGTTACCAAAGATGCTTTGAACAAACTACAGACCTTCATTAACAGTTGTCTTCGCTCAATACTCAAGATCAGATGGCAGGCCAGAAAAGATCAGCAACAAGGATCTCTGGGAGCGAACCAACCAGGAACCGATTGTGAAACAAATAGGCAGGAAGAAATAGAGATGGATTGGCCATACTCTGAGCAAAGAAACCATCAAGTGACATCACTAGACAAGCCATTGCTCGAGTGGAACCCGAAAGGGGAGTGGCGAGTTGGTCGTCAGTGCAAGGGTGACTTGGAGGAGGTCATGTGAAGAGGAGATGAAAACGTGTGGGTAGACATGGAGCCAGGTGAAGACTCTAGCAGAGAAGCAAACGCATTGGAGACGCACGGCTGAAGCCCTATGTTCCTCTAGGAATTAAAGGAAACAGTAATAATAATAATTAGTCTCACTTTTCGGATTGGGTAATATCTGTCTATAATGTGTTTTTGTGTAATACAAATCGATTGTTCTCATGGGATAGGATTGGTAGTATGTCTTCAATCTTTATTTGAGTGCGCTTTAGGGGGGGATTAGATATTATTAGTATGATTACTTCTTGGGTTCTGAGTGGATTCAACAACGCATTTCCACTTCGTTCTATTTGGTGCTGTCATCTTTAGCTGGGTCCCCAATAGACTATAATCTTTCATCTCCTCCTCCTCACCACGCGATCTCCTTCATGTCACCCTCGCACCGACGACCCACTCGTCGTTTCACTTATGGATTTCACTTGAGCTATGGCCTGCACTGCGCGCAATGTCATTCAACGGTTTCCTCAGTGTATGTCCGATCGATCCATCTCCATTTTCTCCTACACATTTGTTGAATGATCGGCTCTTGCTTGTTGGTTTGCTCCGCTTCAGAGTTTCCTGTTACTAATTCTTCCTTACCGGCCGGTCATTTGATCTTCAGTATAGAGCCAACTAGCGAAGGGGGCAGCTGTTGATAAAAGTGTGTAACTTGTTGAAATCCTTTACGTGATGTGTGCGCACTGCAAGTTTCTGACCCGTATAAAAGAACTGACTTCACATTTGTGTTGAACAGAATCCGAATCTTGTTCTTTATGCTGGCTGAGTGCAGTGCAGATTTTGGCTGGCTGACTTTGACATCTTCATCCTTTCCGTTGGCCCGTGGTTGAAACCGTCCTTCCTAGATAAGTGAAAGAAGTGGCCTCTGTCAAATCTCTCCCGTTGATGATGATTGGTGCTGGTTGCTGTTGTTGTTGCGGTTCGTTGGTTATCTTCATCACCTCCGTCTTCTCTATCTTCACCTGCAGTAATAATAATATCGACCCAAATTAATTTTTTCGGACGTTATCGAACCCTAAACGCCGTTGGGATGTGTTCCTCACAAACGTGAAAGGGAGAATGAGGACATCTACCACTTACAACCGGACTAGTAGACATGCTGGGAAACCCTGATTCGAAACCTATGTTGTACATAGTCTCCAGAACCCGAAAGGATCGAATGAGGTATAAACCTGTTTTAGTCACCGGAATCCGGTGGCGCCTGACACTCTTTTGATTGTGTTGTGTGAGGGCTGAGATACTGCCTGGGCGCTCAGAAAGGAGCAGATGGTTGTTTTAAGCGATCACCTCCCGAGCCATTGACTTGGACTGCAATCCGAAAGGAAGAGGAGCAGCGTCAGGAGCTACGTTCCCATGGTCGCCGTTGTCCAATACAGGCTCATACGCCATTTGATCCGTTTGGATTCTGGAGCCCATGTACCCCATAGTAGCTGCTTTCAGTTTAACCGCTATCCAAACAACCTTCCTGACATGGTAGAACCTTCAGGAACACAAGTATGATGTATCGATCGCGTGATGACTGAAAGGCTTATTTCATCATCATCATCATCATCATCATCGTAGAATTATTGTTCAACTGTTTCCTTCGTTTGTTATTCAAAATTCTGTGGTATTTTATTGTAAGCTACAGCAGTTACTTTCATTATTTATTTTATGCCTTTACCTTCCCAGTGGAACGTAAGGGACTTCAAGCTAGAGCGTTCAAAACTTCGGTAGCAAGTGGTGTTTTATTTTTTACAGGATAGGATTGCTAGTCTCACGCCCAACCTTCTCTGTTTACCGGGCTTATTACTAGCTAAGCGAGGTTTAGGAATGCGTCAGTGGCCGGGGATCGAACCCTAGACCCCCTCAGTGACTGGCGAGCATTCCACCTCTGTGCAGCTGACTCACTTTTTACTTTTGTAACGACAGAAGACAAGAGCCAGGCAACAGATCGTTTAATGATAAAATCAAGACATATTCATAGATGTTTATGTACATTACTATTTTTACGAGTTGATCACGGATTGATATCAGTTAGAGAGCCATTGAAAACCAGGGAGTACTGGACAGCTGTTTCATCTTAGTTTGGGAAACATCACCAGTACGCACCGCCCACCATGGTCCTAGCCTAAGACCTTCCGGTTACAAGCGAGCAAGCTCATTTACCGTTCAACTACTGGGACCCGATTCAATGGCCAGTCCATGAATTCTAACTTCTACCAATTCGTGATTTAGCGCTACCCCAACCAATGTCATCAGTGGGACATCCGTCCTCACACGTGACTGGATGGACCTCACTGGTCACGACTTCTCACTAGAACTCCAGGAAACTCCATCCTGTAGCAAGTCACTAGTGAGCATCAGATTAATTTTCTATAGTTTGGTTTGTAAGGGTTAGTTTTGTTTTTACGAGTTGATTACGGATTGATATCAGTTAGAGAACCACTGAAAACCATCGTCCCAATGGCTGAATGGTATACGAGCTTTCCTTGCAACCTGAAGGTCCTGGGTTCGAACCCCAGTGTGTGCGTACTGACGATGATTCCCAAAGTAGGATGAAACAGCTGTCCAGTACTCCCTGGCTGGTTTCAAATGGTTCTCTAACTGATATCAATCCGTGATCAACTCTTAAAAACAAAACTAACCCTTACAAACCAACTATACATTATTATTCGTTATTATTATCAGAGAAGCAACGTCCTCTGGTTGGTTGTTTTCTTGCTGAAGGTTATTCTGTCATCTCTTTGTGGCCGTTTCTTAGAAAGTCAGGCCATTTATCTGCGAATCGTATTTGCACACGCTACGTGTGCTGTGATTGGTTGGTGAGTTCCTCAAGGTTAAGCTTTGTTATTGCTTTTCCCATGACCCCGATTCCGGACGTAAACACTGACGTGAACTGTTGTTGGATGGCAGACAGCTCTCACCACACTTTTGTCATTATTAATATTATTATCATTATTATACATTTATGATTTAACCTTTTTATTTTCACTATCTTTCAGGAAGAAAATAAATTGAATAATCGAGAAATTCGTCTTGGTAATTGGGATTTAAATGCACATATAAAATGGATGAAAGGGCAATCGTCAACTGAGAAACAAACCTCAAGTATTCCCTCAGATAGGTAATTCGAATTTACATATCTATGCGTATGTATCCATTATTTCCTTTATGTAAAATGTGTAGAGCTGATGAATATTACTCTATGGATGGATGGGAGCCTTGTTGATTTAGAGTTCGCAGCAGGTGACAGAATACCACGCTTGTTGAACATCTTGGACAAAAATCTTAATGTGTTAAGATGCTACAGGGCTAATAATCTATACAACGTCTTAATTTATGGATAGTAAGTGAAATGGTAGAGCCTGTTGACCACCTCAGTTATTTGGGAAGTCGCGTCAGCCAACGCCAATGCGGGTTGATCGCTGTCGAAATCTCGGCACGGATACAGAAGGCTCGTTTACCATTTGCCTGCCAACTTACTCCATCTCTGACTTAGTTGGTAGACGTGATATCCCGCTGACTGGCTGGCTGTCGACCAAAGGACTTGTGGTGTGTACTGCTCAGCAGTTAGTTCTCCCTGTCCTCCTTTATGGCTGGCTGTGAGTGAGACATGGTCATTGGAAGTGGAAGACATGAAAAGCCTGGCTAGCTGTCTTTGATCATAGGTTCCTGCGATCTATCTCCTGTGTTAAGTTGTATAATAAGGTGAGTAGTATTTAGGTTGAGCCATCAGTCGAGTGCTAGGTACGCGGGAGGGGAAATCAATCGAGGAGATTGTGTAGTTACAACGATTGAGATGGTGAGGACATTTGTTACTCATGCCTAAACTTCGATAGCTTTTCTCGACGGATGGGCGATTAGCCAGGTTGCAAAAAAAGAGAGCTAGTGGTGGTCAAACGAAAACCTGTCTTTATCAGTTAATGAAATCCATAACAGTTAGTTTAAGCCAGCCAGTAACGTAGGGAGGTGTAGACTGCCTTACTGACTGGTTGGGGTCCTCAGGATGGTAAAAACCAATGATGGCTGGAGACAATTGGTGATATGGCTCAAAGTGATCATTCTCAATGGGGATGACACAGATGCATTCACGCTTGGTGGTGTGCAGATCCAAAAAAACTCTCTTTTTCTTCCTCATTACTGTTCTTGTAAGCACAATATCGCTTGAAATTAAGTCACGCGTAGATAAAGGTTATCCCGGTCGTTCGACCAGACTGCATCACCAATCTGTTGAGACGATACTCTAAATGGACGCTCTTAGTGAAGTCTTTTGCATAGATCCTTAGATGGAAAACCTTCCTAGTTGAAAGGTTCAGAAAAACGGGAAAGGAATTAGCGGTAAGAGGATTATTGAAACTATCAGAAATGAGACACGCAACTCTAGAAATCATACGATCTGTTCAGAGTGAGGTCTATTCGAACTTCGATGAAATAGGAACGGACAGGAACTGTAAGGGCGTTGATTCTCTGAGAAAGCTGTGTCCGATAGTAAAGGATGGAGTCTTATGTGTAGGAGGTCGTCTTTCGTACGCGGACATTTCCATGGCAAATAAGCACCCAGCAATCCTCCCTTCGAAACACATAGTTACCGAAATATTGATTCAGCATTATCATACCGCAGAGGGTCACTGTGGAGTGCATCACGTTCTGGCGTCTTTGTGTCGCTCCTTTTGGATTGTTTAAGGTGCCTCCACTGTTAAACGAGTTATTTGGCAATGTGTCGAATGTAAGAGGAGGTCTACGTTAACTTGTGAGCAGCTCATGGCTCCTCTACCCATGGCGAGAGAGCAAGAAGGATGGTATCCATTCCAGTTCGTTGGAGTAGACTACTTTGGACCATTTTTTGTTAAGCGGGGTCGAGGAAAAGAGAAGCGATATGGCTGCTTATTTACTTGTCTTCAGATTCGTGCTATACATCTTGAGGTAGCACATTCCTTAACGACTGAGTCATTCATCATGTCGTTATTGCGATTTATAGCTAGACGTGGGACCCCTACAGATATCTACAGTGATAATGGGACCAACTTTGTCGGTGCAAACAGAGAACTGAAGGAGCTAGTGAAGGGATGGAATCAGAAGAAGATTAATGATACTCTTTTGTCCAAAGAGATACAGTGGCACTTCCAGCCTCCAAATGCTAGTCATAGAGGCGGATTGTGGGAGCGAATGATTAGATCAGTGAGCATTATGCAATGAGCAGAATCTAAATGATGAAACTATGTTGACGTTTATGGCAGAAGTAGAACGCATATTGAATGACCGGCCGCTTTTACCATCAACATCGGATAGTAGAGATAATCTAGCTCTCAAGCCAAATCACCTACTCCTGGTCTGTCGAAACATTAGTATGGAGACTCCATCAGATAATGTCCAGGTATACAACTCCGGGTGGAGGCAGGCTATGCATGTAGCAGCTTCGTTTTGGCGGAGATGGAAGCGAGAATATCTACCCTTACTTCAAACTAAACAGAAATGTATCACAAAATCTAAAAATCCATCCCGGGGGGATGTGGTGATGATTGCGCCAGAATATTCGACAAGAGACCGTTGACCGCTAGGAGTTATTGCGGGATGCGAGCAATCCGCGGACGGACTTGTCAGAACCGTTACAATAAAGGCGAGAAACGGCGAGGTGAAGCCCGATATGCATAAGATATGCCTACTAGAGGGAAGTCATTTGTAAGAGAGCCGGGTACGAGGGTTATTCTGTGTAACATGATTCATAAAATCCTAGTTGGATTTTTGGGGCCGGTGTAAGATCAATTCAATTGCCATCCTTGAATCAAGTCAACCTATCCCGGATCAGCCTAGCGTTGCTGCAACCCAATTATCCATGCCTAATGTGTCTGTCCCCCCTTGTTTAATGAACTGTGTGTGTTTTTTACATCGATCCGTTTAGTCAGACCGTTGAACTCATGACCCAATTAGAGTATTTTGTGAATTGTTATTTTTGCTGACCCATGTCTTACTTTGTACTATTCTGTCGAGTTTATCTTATTTATTGATCTTCATCTGTATCAGCCTACCTGGTTAAGTAGCCAATTAAATTCTATCTTTGTGCCTAAGCTCTGTCTGTCTCTTAACCGCTCTCTGTTTTATGCCCTGCCTTACTTGGGTTCATTCTTCTACTGACTGCTTACCTGAACAGTCGTGTCTGATTCCGGCCAGTTCGCAATTTTGGCTTTAACGTTATTCCGCTCTGATAGCGGTACCTTGCTTTCTGTGAAGCGTTGTGCTTTGTACTCTTGAAACCGTTAAGGTTTGTTGTATATATATAATTATTGATTTGTTTATTAATAGTACCGTAGAGACAGTGACCGGCTTCTTGTTTGTTCTGGACCGGGATAGCCTTTATCTGCGCGTGACTTAATTTCAAGTGATATTGCGCTTACAGTTCTTTTTCCATCAATCACGTTTCTCCTCATTATCTCTTTTTGGTTGAATCAGTCTCTACTCTCTTCTCTTGATTTGTATGCGATATGGAGTGGAGTGTGGCAACTGGAACTGCTGCGCATCTGTGCAACCTCCTGCGTTGAAAGCAATCATTCAGTCCAGTGAAATATTTGGGTGTGTACAGACTACTTGAATTACTTGGGAAGTTGTATCAGTCATAAAACATCGATGGTTCAGTGGTCGAATGCTCACTAATCGTATACGTGATCTAAGTTCCTTTCCAGGTTAACCCACTGCCCATCCTTGCTTAAACGGTAGTAATCCTGGTAATAAAGTTAGGGTGTATGTTGAACTACCTGGGAAGCATCGTTTCAACTACAGGCGGAACTGACGAGGACATCAAGGCAAGAATCGGAAAAGCAAGACAAGCTTTCACTACTCTCAAGTCTGTGTGGAGGTCAACAACACTCAGCATCAAAAATAAGATCCGGATTTCCAACTCCAATGTGAAGTCAGTGCTACTATACGGATCAGAGACTTTCACTGCGCGTCATAAAGAGCACCTCAAACAAACTACAGACCTTCATCAACAGTTGTCTTCTCTCAGTACTCAAGATCAGATGGCCGGCCAGAAAAGATCAGCAACAGGGATCTTTGGGAACGAACCAACCAGGAACCGATTATGAAACAAATAGGCAGGAGGAAATGGAGATGGATTGGACATACTCTTAGGAAACCATCAAGTGACATCACTAGACAAGCCCTTGTGTGGAACCCGAAAGGAAGGCGGCGAGTTGGTCGTCAGTGCAAGGGTGACTTGGAGGAGGTGATGTGAAGAGGAGATGAAAACGTGTGGGCAGACATGGAGCCAGGTGAAGATTCTAGCAGAGAACCGAACGCAATGGAGACGCATGGCTGAAGCCCTATGTTCCTCTAGGAATTAAAGGATACAATAATAATAATAATAGTAAAGTATGTTGAACTAGCAATTCTACTGTAACTTCATAGATCAAGTTTGAAGTTCCGTGTTTCTCTGGGAAAGCAAAGGAAGGGGAACAAAAATCATCATATCTACTCGACTAATGCGATTAAGATTGGGTTGGGCGTGGTTAAACCAAAATGTAACATGAATCCATGAGTATTGGATTGAGGCAGCCACCTATGAAGGTGTAAACTGCCGGATAAAGGCTATAATCATCTGATTGGCCTTGATGTTAGCAGACATTTTGACTGACTGACTGGCTGAGTTTTCAACGTGGAACTATGCACGCAAATGGAGTACTTCAAGTTGTCACACTTTAAAAAAGCACATATAAAGAGTGAGAAAAGGAAAGGGAATACTATAGGCAGAAATATAAGGAGGCGAGAATAGCTATGTGAATAAAATTGAGGATTTTATGAATCTAGAAGATCACAAATAGTGTATTGAGAAGAATTTCTAGTCATATAACCAACAATCTCCAGTCATTGGTGGTTCTTAAGGTCGCAGAGACCTCGACCAATCTCGATTAATTTCCCTGAAGAAGTTCGAACCAGTTTGTCGAATGTAGGAAACGTTGGGATTACTTATGTAACAACAGAAGACAAGACACGGGAGCCAAGGTATATTTTTCATTAATCAAACCGCTGTTTATATATGCACAGTTTATATTCTTTAACCGATCACTGAGCGTGTGATTTCGGTTTACATCAAACGACATGAAATAGAATGTTCAAACATATTTGGTATTC